GCGTGGGGTAAAATTACATCACTGATCTGGGTCAATTGAGTTTTAGACTGTCAGGTGACGATTTAGGATTTCTTTAATATAATTATATTTTTTACTCTTAGGGGGTGAATTTCAGCAAAATTTGTATCGGTATATTTCATAAGAAGGTATTTTAAACATGTGTATGCCATTTTAGCAAATATGACATTTTTTCCCCGACCAGCCCCTTTAAACGAAAGTGAAATGGTCTTATTGTGTGTTTGTAGTCTCTAAACCAATTCTTTAGCTAAGGTCACATTCTAGGTCATTCAGCAGGTAAATAGCATCGGCTCCACATATTTAATGTCAAATTTTTCTTCAGTCTGTGTTTTTCCTGCCTATTTCTATACAAGTCCGAAAAATTCTCAATTGGTTCATATTTGGTAAATAAGAGCAATAAAAAATCAGAAATGATTTTGTTTCTACCAGTATGTATTATGCAAGCCAGACTTTCCCAATTTCACACTTGCACACACAAAAAAATCCCTATTTATGCCAGGTGGCAATTTGCCAAATTGGCCAGGAAAATCACTGTTAGTATCAGAATTAACCAGTATGTGTTGTAAAGTGGCTGTTACTGACCACCTGTGGCTGTGTTTAACAGGGAGCTGGACATCAGTGTCTTCACCATTCTACACACGGGAACAGTCATAGACCAAGCTCTGGACACCGACTTCAACACCAAGGTCAGTATGACGTCACCTCCAGAGTAATGAAAGTCACTTCTCGTAGGTGTCCAATATCTCTGTGATATGAAATACACTTAGGCATTTACTGACATCTATGTCTGGTGTGATTTAATCAACAGGCAACCACAGAGCTGTCAATCCGGCCAAAACAGCTGGAGTTCCTGTTGGAGGACCTCACCAGTAAACTAAGCCACATCCTCATTGCCTCCACATCCACACGAAGGTCGTTCTTCAAGGTCAGGTCTATATATAGCCTTATTAAGATGACTTGCTTTAAGATCCCATCTACATTAGTTTTGATGAAATACTCTTAAAAAAATTCAATGTCAAACATAAAGGAGATATCTTTTAGGTCAAGTGGGATTGTGTTTTAAAAGAAAAATACTTAGTTGATTTTTTGATTTTTTTTAGGTCACCTGAGCTTTGCTCAAGTGACCTATTCTAATCGCTTTCCCTCCCTCGTCGTCCGTCGTCCGTCGTGGGTCGTGCGTAAACTTTTTACATTTTCAACTTCTTCTCAAGAACCAGTGGATGGATTTTTTCAAACTAAGTCAGAATCATCCTTGGTAGATGAGGCTACAAAATTGTAAAATTCAGATTCCTACCCCAACCCCTGGGGCCAGGGCGGGGCCCCAAAGGGAAAATTAACCAATATTTCAAAAATCTTCTTCTCCAGACTCAGAGGTACTACAGTCATTTTCTCTGCATGGAAAGAAAGATCATCAGGGGCTTTACTTAAATTGTAAATTTCAGGACCCCCGAGCTATCCGTTCTCCCTTGGGGAGGGGGTAAAGTTTACTATAGTTTATATAGGGAAATAACACTTTTGGGTATATTTTGACAACTTTCTGTAGGAAATTATTTTTACTTGGTGAGAATTATCCTTGGAGGTAGATGGTTTCAAATTGTAAAATTGAGATTCCTACCCCGACCCCTGGGGCCAGGGCGGGGCCCCAAAGGGAAAATTAATCAATATTTCAAAAATCTTCTTCTCCAGACTCAGAGGTACTACAGTGATTTTCTCTACGTGGAAAGAAAGATCATCAGGGGCTTTACTTAAATTGTAAATTTCAGGACCCCCGAGCTATCCGTTCTCCCTTGGGGAGGGGGTAAAGTTTACTATAGTTTATATAGGGAAATAACACTTTTGGGTATATTTTGACAACTTTCTGTAGGAAATTATTTTTACTTGGTGAGAATTATCCTTGGAGGTAGATGGTTTCAAATTGTAAAATTGAGATTCCTACCCCAACCCCTGGGGCCAGGGCGGGGCCCCAAAGGGAAAATTAACCAATATTTCAAAAATCTTCTTCTCCAGTCTCAGAGGTACTACAGTCCTTTCTATGCATGGAAAGAAAGATCATCAACGCCTTTATTTAAATTGTAAATTTCAGGACCCCCCAGCTATCCGTTCTCCCTTGGGGAGGGGGTAAAGTTTACTATAGTTTATATAGGGAAATAACACTTTTGGGTATATTTTATCCATTTTCAGCAGAAAATTACTCAAACTTAGTCAGAATCATTTTTGGTGAATGAGGGTATTACATTGTAATTGGACTAGGGCGGGCCCCAAAGGGAACATTTACCAATATTTTCAAATTCTTATCCTTTGATAACATGACAAGTATTGTATTTCACTTAGTTTACATGCTGATTTCCACATCACAACTAAACAATAAAATAAAGCTACCAGTACCTATGATATATTAACTCAGGTGACCGCTAAGGCCCTTGGGCCTCTTGTTATAAACTAGGACTTGGAAATTATGCTCCGTAAAAGATTTTAATAAAATACTAATTTAATAACCCAAGCCTATATTGACATTTTAAGGTCGAATGAGTGTATTGATAAACGGAAATAGGAAGTATATCCCTAGTTGAAAAGCCAATGTAGGGAGACAGTATCACAATTCCCGCATATTCTAATGAGTCTAGAGTTGTGATGAATATTGTATGTTTATCATTGACAGAACAGTGAGTTCTCTCAATATTAAAGTATTTCAAAGCCATCCAGCCATTAATTAAGTTGCTTTTAATCAATGAGTCACATGTGTCCATTTTTCTGTACTTCAGGAAACCGCCTACCTATTTCACTACTGTGAAGTTTTTCAAGAAAGATAACTCTTACATGTCATTACTATGTGTATATGATGTCAATTTTTAATCGTTTATAGATAATTTATTTTACACAATTTACAGCATTTATTAAATTGATATACATTAATGCAATACTAATCTATGGCAGTATCATTTTTATTGACATTGTTTTGCAAAAAAATGTGTCTTTCATTTTTTTTCAAAATTCACTTCTTTTTACATAAATTTCCATTTAAAATCCTTAAAATTCTGACAATCTAATTTTTTTTGTGGCAGAAAATTTTCTTTACTTCAAAGCAATATAACTACAAAATTTGAAGAAATCCTACTGAGAAATGGTGACACAGACCTATTACCTTAAGGCATAAGAACTTCTCTGAAATTGACAATAATTTAGAAAAAGAAATTATTCCACTGTTATTATATAAATTCTTTTAGTAGTAACATCAGCACCTTAAAAAAGAAATTTTAGTCAGCCTTGTTGTAAATTTGTTGTATTTGATCTCGACAGACAAAGCCTGGGAAGAACATAGGGTTCTCACACTTGGATCAGTATTGTCCCAAGAGGATAGCTGTCAAAGCTGTCAAGCTGTTACCTGCCCTTTGTAACCACCTAGAGGGCGCTAGTGGCTTTTTCCAGACAATGATTGCAGAGAATGACGGTCTGGTGGACGGGCCTGGCAGTAACGGACCTGAGGCGGGCCTGATGGGCTCCTGTTTTCAGCTGTTGTTACAGGCTCTTCTCTCTCTATTTTCTTGGTAAATATACTAAAATAAATCTATAAAAATTGTTTTTAACTTTGTAAGTACCATCGGTAAGAATGTCTGCATCATTTTGTCCGGGGCTTATCTCTCAGTCACCTGTAATTGCCAATTTTGTATGTAAGTACTTCTTGGGGTGGCAGAGTGTCACACACTAAAATCAGGCCATGTGTTCCAATATTTACAGAGTTATGGCCCTTTGTTTACTGCTTCACTATGTCCAGGACATATCTCATATATTCTGTCACCTTCAATTGCTTCAATTTTGTATTGGGGTACTCTCTGGAGATTGTGGAACATCTCATACTGAAGTCAGGTCTCGTGGACGTCTTTATTTTTTATACAGAGTTATGGCCCTTTGTTAATAACGGTACAGCAAAAGGTATTTCACTACTTTATTGATAGGACTTCAATCTCAGTGCATATTAAATTGTTCTGAAACGCTTTTAGTGTTTTCGATTGGAATATAAGATCCCTGTAATTGAGCAAATATAAACCTGCTCAACTCTTTCGTTCTCCAGTAATCAGTAACAAATATGTATATTTGTCAAACTGCAAGAGAAAATCTTACGTATTCCATTACATAGTTCCTAAGCTTTACAGGTTTAATACATGTTAATTTGGGTCCATGTTTCCTACATAAACCTTTATAAATGATGATACTGTTTACACTATAAAGTTAAATGACCATGTTTCTGAAATCATGAATATCTTGCTTAACAGGAATGGTTTCTTGATGACAGAAAACAAAGCTCTGTTAAAGGAAGCACTTGGTATCCTGGTAGCACGTATCAAAACATTCACAGCCTCCCAGACAGGACTACAAGAACTCGTCAAGTAGGTGCTATACAACTCACGTTAATAACTAGCACCGGGTATTTGGAGGGAGGGTGGAAAGAGCTAGATGAGCTACTTTTTTAAAACCTATTTCAATGTGTGGTATTTGTGGAATTTAGGAGTACTATTTGAAGAGCTGCTATTTTAATACCTATTTCAAGTCTGGTTCTTACTGAGGGACGGGGGTAGTATAGGAAGAACTGCTGTTTATGCCTCATAGTTTAGGGAGGTGGAACAGCATTAGAAGTAATAGAAGAGAACATATTTTAAGGCTGGTGTTGGGAACAGGGAAACAGTTGAAAAAGTGCAACTTTTCTGACTTACCTGTGAGGAACAGAGTTGGAAGGGCTATTTAGATACAATTAATAGTTACAAAGATCATGGTTGTACATTTTTCTAATGAAGTTCTGCAAACAAAGATTGTTTTTTCTCCAAACCTAACTCAAATTTAAGATTGAACTTTAGAATAACATGCCATTTAAGTATTATTTTAATATGTTTCCTTTTATTGAATCTTGTTTCAGTGTTAATCTGCTTCAACTGCTTCACATTTTGCACTAGGCTTGAACATGGGAGTCCATTAAACGTAACTGAGATTTAAACCACTGAGGTTGTTTGTCAATGTTAAATGATGTCAACCAGATATACAGGTAAACGCTATGATTGAAATCACTTTTATACAACATTGTAGAACTTCCCATCAGTATGTAGCAAATTTTGCTAATACAGTGCCAAACTTGACCACAGCAGTGACCGTACTCAAAGTCCTTATCACACTGGGGGACAAGGTCAACACGGATGACCTACAGGTTAAAATAGGTGAGTCATGACTGTTAAGGCTACTAGTACCACTGCCTCAGTTATAATCAAACAGAAGAGTTCCACTCATGTTTTCCTGACTGAGTATTCTCCTTTTCTTTATAGACGATGAATTATTTTTTTCTAGCTTAGAGTTACTTCCCCTGTCCAGATATTTATAGGTTGTGTAGCTCAGATATGAGACATTCGTTTGACGGTTTGTAATTATTATTCCTAGATGGTTACATTTAGTAAAATGTAGGCTTTGCAATATAAAGGTCCTGAGTTCGAGTCATGTCATTTTTCCTTTTTCCGTTTTCAAACATTCAAAATTTTGAACAACTTTAATTCTGTAATATGCATGGCAACATGTGATTTTTTCCTCTTTTATTTACCTTTATCATCATCGAACATGCTTGCAATTTGACAAACTGTAAGGTGATGAATGAACACCAAGAAAACCCCCAGTGATAGTTTATATACAGTAAAAAAAAAGTAACTCAAACTTATTGGGTCACGATCAATAGTTTGGGGAATGCATGATATGACAAATCCGAGGTTCGTCCGATAGCGTCATGTTTTAAACAGATGACAGACAGCACAAGCTCTGCTAATGTTGTGGATTGTAGATTATAGAAATAAAAAAGGAGTTTGATAAAGATGACAACATCTAATAAGATATGATATTGCTCAACAATGAAAACATCAAGCCAGCTGTATTAGAAAGGAAGTAAAATAAAGAAGATGTATATGTAATTTATTTGTCGTATTGACATAGTCCGCTATACTGTATTCGGCTCGGTTAATTTCACACAATACCAAAACAAGAGGAACTCTTCAATCACTTTAAAATGAAGAAAATCTTGAATCCTTGTTAATGATATAGGTACTTAATGATATCGCTGTTAATTCTTGAATTACCTGACGTCCGGCCGACATCTGCATAAAGATATAAGTGGTAAGGGCAAAATAAGAGTTTGAAGAACACAGGGTAGTTGAGCAATGGCAGTTTGAGTAATCCGAGGTTAATATACAGAGATTATATAAGAACATGGTCGGGACCAACCAAACTATTCAAGGTATGCGAGTTCGAGTAGGTAGGGTTTCACTGTACTAGTAGGGATTGGAAAAACTTATAGAAATACTATTTGAACAACATGTTCCTTTATGATATGGTAAACCTGTTGTAATATGTGACTTCAGTGGCGATGTCAGAAGAATTTCTGAAACGGGAGTGGCTTGGAACAGATGGTGAGAAGGAGAAAGGGGCCAAACATAATGAGAACCTACAGTTTGTCCTCAGGTGAGAAAAAAACAGGGTCAGTGGTGAAGTGAATTAATGAACTATAGGAATTTAATGGCCATGGCTTTTGAGAAATGATTTCTTCTGTGAAATTTTAATACAGATGGAGAGTTAAACTCCACAACCTGGTATTTGGTTTACTGAAATTTATTTTTTAGAAAACCAGCATTATGCCATATTCAGTTTTGGTATACTTTTGTCCCATTCACCTAGAGAAAATGTGTGACTTGATTTCAGGACCTACCTCGGCTGTTCTGAGGATTCTTTGTCTTCTGTGGAAACCATAGCAACAAAAGGGATAACTGAACTTCTGGAGACAGACAACAATGGCAGCTCTGATTTGTATCCGACCTTGACCAAGCACTCGTTCCCAGTGTTCTACAGGATAATGTTTTACGAGTTGATTGGCTGCTTAAAAACAATTAGTCCAGTGAAACAGAGTGACTCCAGAGAGGTATTATTATACAACCTTTGATATAGCATCCTTACTAGCAAGAATAAGTCTCTACAATAGAAATATATACAATTCATACTATCAATACAGCTTGAGGATTTCACTGGAGCTGCATTAGCTGGGGCTCACACTGTTTGTCCTATGGCACCCGGTTGTATACCTCCACATGTGTGTGAGCTTGGTGTTTGCTGCTGGTATATTAGTATTTTGTTTTGTGTTTTAAACTGTGCTTTTAATGTTTTCTTTTGTTGAAAAGGTGAAAATTGGCAAAAAAATCAAAGTCTACTGAACTTAAAATGATACAGTCAAACAATCTTGATGTCCTGAGATTCTTTTACATAAGTTTGAACTAAATTCTCTCTGTGTCAACCATTTCCCCTTTTGGAGGGGGTAGAAAAAATAAAGTGAACATATGAAAATAATCTATTTGTGTATCTTCAAAAATTGAATAGATTCAGCTACGTTTTGTTTCATACCTGGTCATAGATTTGCAGGAGTCTCCCTTGTCTCTGTTCAGAACTGGCCCACAGCAGCGTACAAGACGGCTTCCTTTGTCTGCCATTTGAACAGCTTATACAAACTGTAGCTGAATCACTTTTTCTTTAAGTGAGTTGTTTTGATTCGTTTAGAGTTATTTTCACTTTTGTATCTTTGCCAGGTGAAGCTTGACTGCCTGTTAAGGTGGAACCAAGCGGTACGAATATTACACATCATGGTCAACCTTATCAAGGTAAGAGAAACAGAATATTATACTGTCTTGTTTAAAATTATAATTTCAAATTTTCATTTGCTGTCTGATGAAATACCAGTTCTGGTATATATTAAGATGTAGGTGTAACCTTGTTTACATCCAAGAATTATGATTTTATTATGGTTAGTTACATTTAGATGAACTCTTCTACAGAATGATATAGTCAAAAACTCTTTAAATGAATGTACAAATTTTTAGCTTACTCGGTCCAAAAGACCAAGGTAAGCTTATGCAGTTATGAAATACCATGATGTCTGAAATCTGCCAATCTGTCTATAATTTCTCCAAACAAGTTCTGACGAACCTCTGAACAGAACTTAAACAAAGATTCAAAACATCTTTGGTTTAAAATTGTACAAATGGATGAGCTGAGGGAATGAATTTGATGGATTTCTGCCATGATAGATGCAGAATCTAAAAATTCCTTAATTCCAGACAAAAGTACCCAAAAACAGGACTAGCAGACCTAGCCAAAAATGTGGTAAAAAGTCTGTCGGACCTACATGTTCTCAAGTTTTCAAAACATTATCTTCTCTTCAAGCCCATGTTCACTAGAACACTCCATTTTTAGCACTCAATCATTATTAGCTCACCTGCCATATGATTCCTTGTAAAGTGTGTCAGGACCCAGGCTTTCTGGGCTGGATAAGTCCTGGACCAGGAATGACAAAAAAAAAGTTTAGCTCTTGAGATGGAAGTGCTTGATCATGTGTTGATAATTCAAAAGTGTTACAGCCCATCTTGAGAGGGGGTCGTAGTGGCTGTGTGGTTAAGGCGTCTGACTGTCTACAATCACTAGCCCTCCACCACTGGGTCGTGGCTTCGAGACTGAGGTGGGGCAGTCGCCAGGTACTGGCCATAGGTCGGTGTTTTTTCTTTGGGTACTCCAACTTTCCTCCACCACCTAAACCTGGACATTAAATGACCATAGCTATTAAAAGGAAGTAAATCACAAACATAGAAACCCATCTTTAGTGATATTTCGAAGTTTCATTTATATTTTTAGGCTTTTGACGGAAGAGTCCTTCTTGGAACAGCTCTCAAGGTATGGACGAAAAAATATTTTTTTATATATGCGTTTGTATTTTAACTTAACACTGGAAAAAATCATCCATTCATATGTCATTCAAATGAATTATGAAAAGGGTACAATGAAAAAAAAAATGTGTACAGTTTTTACTAGCAGAAAAAGGTTTTGTTTTGTAATCATCTTTATAGAGTTTCATAACAAGGATTTCAGATAATCTTTATTAAAAAAAAGGAAGAAAGAAAATAGAATCAAAGAAGAAAGTAATACCAAGGAAACACTTGGACAGTTAACATTTTGAATCAACCTTCAAATGAAAGGTAAATATATTGTATTAGTACAGGTGTCTGTATGATGATGTGTTGATTAATCTCAATATACCTGTATCTCTCACATAAGGGACGCAGTGCAGAGTACATGTAATAAGGTCACTGACCTTCACCTCTTGGCTAAATAACTGAAAATGTTTTAATTAAATCTTTTGTGTTCTATAGCTTTTTATACGCCCGTCGAAGACGGGGACGTATTATGTTATCACGCGGGCGGGCGGGCAAACAATGTCCGCTCGATATCTCGAGTAATTATTAATGGATTAACTTCAAACTTCACAACAAGGTTAATTACCATGAAACCTCGGACAAGTTCGATAACCTCGATATCTCGAGTAATTATTAACGATATTGTTGCAGCCCTATTACCTAGTGTTCTCGATTTTAATTGTTGATGTAATGGTCTGTACAAAAACCTTGTGCTATCTGTCAACATCAGCTAGACGCGAGGTCAGGATGTCTACATAGCGTATTTGGTTTCTTCAGGATAATATTGTTACCTGGTGTTTGTTTCAGTGTGGTCGTCAATTCCTAGACATATTTCTGCGACAAGGAATGCCACTCTTGGATAACATGTTCCGGTCACACAGAGATGATGTCCAGAGTCTGCTAAAGAACTTACAGCTTAGTACACGTGCACTCCACCACATGTGTGGCCATTCAAAGGTCAGTACAGGTACATGTACAAACTCATGGGTATACAAAGCTTTGTTGACCATATGTGGAGCACAAACATTTTCACAAACTAATATTTCAAAAGAAAAATTTGAAATAAAGAAAATGAAATAATTTGCATGAGTTGCTTATAGGGATTCATATTGATAACCTGTACATCTTCAAAATAATGTTCTGAATTACAATTAGAATGTGAAGGACGCTAAACATTGCATCTGATGACCATATTTGAAATTTGAAAGCTTGGCTAGGGTCAAAGGTAAACAAAAGCTAAAATGAATAAAAAAAAATTAATAAAAAATGAGTAACCGATGACCTTGACCTATTTTCAAGGTCATAGGAGTCAAATATATTAATAACTTTAATAAAGAGCCATGAGACTTTGGAAACTTGTATATCAGTAGTATGGACATCTTTTCTTAGTCCTCAGATAATAACTCTGAATTTCTTGAGATCTCCATCATATAAACATATCTATGCCTGCTGGGCATGAAGAATAGATCACAAGCATGCTAGGAGAATAAGCTCGGAGATCTGGCCCCACCTTTAGGGGCATATTCTTAGATCATTCTATGAAATGATTGGAATCCCAACCCTATAACTGTACAAGATGTATACTGTTCTAACTATACACGCATGCATACGGATCTCAACCAGATTAGCTATGAAGCCAGAGAGACAGAGGCTGAAATGGGAAATATATTTACAATACTACTTTAATGAGAATATGTTGCAATGATTGCCCAAATATCCAAAAACAATACAGGCCCTTTGGGCTTCTTTTTAATAAGATGAGATAGTGCGTCAGTAAAGCCAAAGTTACACAGAGAAACTAGGCCAATGATTCATTGTTCATGTGTGACTTTGTCATCTACTTACAGATAATGAAAAACTTGGCATTGACCAATCAGGTGCCATTCCTGAAGAAAAGTCTGGAAGCATTTGTGTACAGGGTCAAGGTCATGCTTACAGTCAACAAGTGTTTGGAGGCATTCTGGCTCGGCAACCTCAAAAACAGGGACCTCAAGGTGAGGCACTCTACAACTGCGTCTGTCAGACTTTGTTATGTTGAAGTTGTGGGTAAAAAAAGTCATAACACAGTCTAAAAGGGGAACAACAGATAACTTTAATAATGATGTGGCTTCTGAGATATATAAAGTTTATGATGAAATGCTTTACATTGAATACAATGTGGTTTTACCAACTTATGAAAGAAACATGAAGCTCAACTTGAACTTTTCAAAATGATGTTTTTACATTGTACTTATGTTGATAAATTGATTTGTGACATTGCGTCGTTTCCAATAACAGGGTGAGGAGATAATGTCGCAGGCGTCTGTCGTGGAGGAGAGGAATGAAGATGAGAGCGATGAAGAAGAAACTGTTCCAGAGGATGAGGAAGAAAGTGATGTGGTATGTCCTCTAAGTTCTGGAGATCCATACCATGGGAAAGTTTTACAGAATTACTAAACTGTCCCATGATTTTAGCCCAATTTCTATTGTTTTTCCCACTAAACATCACATTATTATATCACCACAGTGAAGTTAGGGGAGGTATACTCATACAGGATGTCTGACTGCCCTCCATCCATGTGTAGACACTATTTTGTCTCTTCATGAAGAATATGACTCAGTTTTAATGAAAGCTTATGTAGCTCATCATCAGATCTGTGTATATGTGACATGTTATCTCCATCAGTGTTACCCAATAACAGAGTTTTGGACCTATATTTTGTATCCTTGAGGGTTCTTAATTGTGTAAAGAGGATAGCTGCCCTTGGAGCTGGTCCAAAACACGAGATTTGATCATGATTCAACTAAATTTGCTATGAAGCATCTGTAGGACCAGGCTAATTCTGGTATAGTTTTCAGTTGGTTATTGCCCTTTAATCACTGAATAATTACTGCTTTACCTGTTCAACAGATAGCACAGACACAAACAAACTTCTGACCAGAGAATTTCCTCAATCTGAATACTCTCTTCATCGTAAAGAGAAGTAAGAGGGATTAGTTAGGCATTGCAGGTGACAAATATGATAGTTTGGCATAATGGGGCTCCACTAGGAAACATGTGCATAAGTATATAGACCAGAAACAGGGGGTTCTAGATATAGATAATTTGCAATTACGTGAATGATAATGAATTAAGTTTTAAACATGTTTGTTACAGGAAATGGATAACCAGAGTGAGGCAGGAAGTGACCGAACAAAAGAGAACAGTGATAACGAGTCCTGTAGCGAAATATTTTAAAGGGCAGATAACTCAGACAGAGAAGTTAACAGAACTTATAAAATGAGATCTGACAAGTGAAGAATTAAAAAATGTTTCAAAAATGGAATTGTTGTCGGCCAATCTGACAATTTAAACACAACACTGACTGCAGATTTAAGATTGAGAGACGCAATATACCAACCAGACAATGTGGAAGTCAGAGTGTTCAGTGGAAGACAAAGACAAATTGCTAATAAGGAAGTAGTTACTAGCATAAATGTTACTGAGGCGTAAAGTGTCATCAAGTAATGACCAGAACTACTGACGAAAAATGTTCATGTCATTAAAAGAGAATCAATGAGTATAAGTTATCTGTTACATGTGTTATAAACATTGAAAAGGCAAGTTAAACCCCCTTTGGTCGAATGTGATTTATGGTGATAGTGTTCAGATCATTAATATTAAGTTCCTCTTGGTAGTATACACAAGGAAATCAATACATTTTGAATATTTCACAGAACTTTACTGGTGTAGAATGTTAATATTCCTTCATGATATGGTACAATATGTAGTTTTTTGCAGGATTTCCTTTATTACTGTTTTGCCAAATAATTGTGCAGTACAAATCTTCTCGACTGTCAACCCACACTTCACTGTCAAGGACATCCCAATGTATTTCTCTGACGATCACTTGTTTTACCTAATTGTCAATAGGCCATGATATGCATAGCTTACATTTTCATATTTCCCATGGTTTGCATCAGTTACAATAGAAACAATGTTCTTCATTGTGCTTTCAATATCATTGTCCTTGATGTCTCAAACTCTATAGGTAATCGGAATCTTTACCAAACCGGGTCACAGATATTTGTTGTTTGCGTGAAATAATATCCTTTACAAGTTTGTTTGTTGTTCCTGGCAGCAGTCAGGGTCATATGAAGGGAACAAGTTTGGTAACAAAATCATCATCAGTTGGGCAATGCAACACTTGGCCTTGTTTCATATAAAATACATAAAGAACGATACCTTTAAATTTGCCTTTTTCATCGATTTTGTTATTCTGAAAAGATATTTTGTCAATTGTCGCATTATCTGGCAACTTCGTGGCAAGATAAATCTTTGATAAATACACCTCCAGAATGCACAGGAAAGTGTAAAGTTCAAATTGCGTTGTATTTTTGTATAACAAATGTCTCACCACTTCAAAATTGATAATTATTTCTTCCGACATCAAAACATGCTCCCGCATAAAACACGTGATGTTATCACCCTATAGTCAAGCACAAATAATAGATGTTTTATATATAATAAAGGTAAGACGAGATTTTAAAGCATGATCAGTAATCTGGATAGAGCAGTCAGGTAGGTAAATCATTCCATATTGGCAATGACTGTTTGGTTCTCTGCATCCTAACCTGCACATTGTATAGTAAACATGTTCATTGTATACATAGTAGCATTATATTTCATTATAAATGGTTATAAATGTATTTATGAAATTTGCTGTAATTTGTAAAACTTTTTATTTGTTGAGAGATGATATTTGTGATGAAATGTTAAATGTACTGTGATTGTTGTGCTGTGAAGTTTTCAGATGAATTGACTAGTGTTTAAGATTATGCATGATGATTGCATATGGTTCATGTATGAGCTTATTTTGTTGAAATAAACATGTATTATATACTGTTTGTATGTCTTCGTGCTGACTTTCATTGTCCCATTTTAGAATTCTACCATTTTGAAGATAAATTGTCTCTTTCTTGTCATGAATCTGACAGTCCAACAAGTCCCCTATAAGATGCTATAGTCTCCTAAAACTCCAACCCTTGATAAGTCACGGATATAGGCCCGAATTCAAATCGAAAACCATACATGTTATTAGAATATATCGAACTTGTATGTATATCACCTTATAGTACCATTATAAAATGGTGCACGACGACGTTAACATACGGCCTATTCGTTTATGCGGAACAAACGGTTTGTCCGTTTTTAAATGTAACAATTTCGGTTATAAATACTAGCGGACTTGCAATGTTTTTGCAAGGCTTTGTCAAGGCTCGCCTGAAAGCAGCATCAGATTACTAGGTCCGACCTTATTTAATAAACGAACAACTGTGGTCCGATCGGTTCAACCGCTTAAACGAAAACGGCCATAGTCTGTAAAAAGGCACTCAGGCTTGTGTTTGATTTCAAAATAGTTCACCAGACTTACAATAACAAGTAAATCTCTTTTGAGACTTAACTGAATGCTATGAATTGACATATCATCTATAGTTCATTTATATGCCAATGTAAGGCAGATATTAATTTCTCTTGCGTTTGGCTTTGTGAATTTCTGAGAAATAGCTATAGCACTTGACAGCAAAATTATCTACACCCCATCGCAATTTGGTGCATGCATACCAAAGTATACTAAAGTTTCATTACGATTCATGCGGTGGTTTCTGGGAAATAAATGTAAATAAGTTGTTGTTGACAGACTGAATGACCAACAAACGGACGCCAGATCACGCACGAAAACTATTTGAACATTCCCATCATCTGATCATCTTAAAATCATATAAACAAAACTAAGTAGACGTGTGTGCCTATCGTCACACACATACACATATTTCCTAGAAACGGAGGAACACTTTAATTCCTTTATTACCTAATGCGCGTACTAAATAACAAAAAGCCTGTTTATTTGTCTGTTTGAGTGGTTTTACGTCTGCTTCACCACCAAGTAGTTCGGTTATCCAGCAGACGATCAAAAGCTAGGACCTTTTTATACGCCCGTCGAAGACGGGGACGTATTATGTTATCACGTGAGCGGGCGGGCGGG